TATTGCTTCCTAACAATATGTTCACTACTCTGTTGGTAAACATTTATTGCTTCCTAACAATATGTTCACTACTCTGTTGGTAAACATTTATTGCTTCCTAACAATATGTTGACTACTCTGTTGGTAAACATTTATTGCTTCCTAACAATATGTCAACTACTCTGTTGATAAACATTTATTGCTTCCTAACAATATGTTGACTACTCTGTTGGTAAACAATTGCTACCTAACAATATGTTGACTACTCTGTTGGTAAACATTTTGCTTCCTAACAATATATTGACTACTCTGTTGGTAAACATTTATTGCTACCTAACAATATGTTGACTACTCTGTTGGTAAACATTTATTGCTTCCTAACAATATGTTGACTACTGTGTTGGTAAACATTTATTGCTACCTAACAATATGTTGACTACTCTGTTGGTAAACATTTATTGCTTCCTAACAATCTGTTGACTACTCTGTTGGTAAACATTTGCTTCCTAACAATATGTTGACTACTCTGTTGGTAAACATTTGCTTCCTAACAATATATTGACTACTCTGTTGGTAAACATTTATTACATATTATCAGAATATTAATAACATTACCTTGATTATGCTGTTAGTAAATACTTTAACAAAAAGACTAATATTAGATTGAGAACACTTCAACAGATTGTCAGAATAAAGACAATACTAGTAGGTTGACTATACCATTCATAAACAAAAGTTACGAGACTAAGGTTAATGTTAGACTGACTAAACTGATGGTAAACAGGTTAATGTTAGGTTGGATATATTGCTGGTTGGTTGCTATTAGGAGAAACTCTGTTACTACTTCTGGAGGAATTCTGTTACTAAAATACACGTACCTTCGTAGCCTTACTGGTCCCTCTAACTTTATCAATTTTTGCTTGGGCTACAGATGCTCTCTCATTGATACCTTTAAGACGCTGATGGTATTCTGAAACTTTGGAATTAATTTTAGAAAAAATGTCATTGGTTATCTTCTCTAGATAATCTAACGAATCTGCAATGCAGTGAATAGTTTCTTCCCGTCTCAGGTCAGGAGGAATCAGCTTTACATTGTACACTTGGACTGTCATCGTGAATGTTCTCTTCCCCTGTAGAAAAAATAGTTCACTCAGGCTT